CATGAGATTTAATTTAATTATTATTTTCCATTTTCAAAATGTTTACTTTTTTTTTTCAATGTTCTTTTTTTAGTTTTTACCTAGACATTGTGCCTCTTTTCCTAATGTTGGGATATAAGAAAGAAAAACAAATTTTAGGAAATAAGAAATGATTAAATTCTTAAACAAAAGTCAACTCGTGATTCAAAAATGGTCGCCATTAGTGCATCATTTCATTTTATACTCTATTTGTATTCTAAGATGCTACATTAGTCCATAAAACAAAAACAATTACATTATTATCATAATACCAATTGCCTGATAATTCAACTATTCAAGTGGCATCATCTTAGCTTTTACTTTTAAAAAAATAAAAATAAAAAATCATGGTTTGCATACCAAAATCCGGATTTGCTATGGAGTCGTCGGATGACTCGGCTTATAGAACCATCCATAGTTACTCACAAATGATTTATTGACACGTGTCCTGCAACAAATGCACATTAGACATGTGTCAATACATAAATTCGATGACTCCATAGAATTTATGTGTTCCGATATTATTAACTCCTTACTTATATAATGAAGTAAGTTCATTTGATTATGGATATATTGGAAGATATTACGTCTCGCTACAGAACTATTCTGTTAGGGTTTGTAACCGTTAGATCAATTATCTCTGACGGTCACATGATGATTTAACAGTTACCAACCTCAGCGGAATGGTTCCGTAACGATACATTAGCATTTCATGGATATATTTATCATTATAAATTTATTTAGCCAAAGAAAAATATCACATGTGAAAAATTACATAGAGAAAAGATTGTCTTAATTTGTCTCATTAACTTTCTTCTTTTCGGCATAAGTTCGTGTTGGAAATAATGACGTGGACCGGTCAACAGACCGGTCAACTCACCGGTCAACTCAAGAATCCCAGTCAGCTGCTCACCTCATTGCCATGTCACCAAGAGCACGTTGCATGTTAGCATGCAAGATGATAAAAGGCTACAACTATGATGTCTTGGCATTATTCTCTCATTCTTATCCTTATTGAGTGGTGTAGATTGATTAGGGTTTTGAACCAATGATATTCTAGGAGGTTCCCTTAGCTTGATATAAATAGCATAGCCATAGTAGTAGCCGCATCAATTTCTGATGTTTTGAGATCTGTGAAATTGAATACAATGAAGCTTCTTTACTGTTACATTGTTCTTGCATATTTGCCTAAATTTTATCATGGTATAGGAGCTTCAGGGTAAAACCTGGAGTTTCTGATCCATTTCTCCCCCTGGTTTCTTTTTTTTTTATTTATTCCTCTTCAAGTTAGATCCTACTAGCTACAACTATGGCCG